GTTGAGGGATGTTTGCAGGACAATGGAAAAAAAACAAGCGTACTGCTGTGTGGACGCTCTCTGTGAGGGGTGTAGCATTACATGACACTGAGAAGATAGGATGCTAGCACAGAGGCTGCTGCCTGTGTGTGGTGCATTACTTTAGATGTGTTTCTGTTTGGTCTGACATTTATTGAACTGCCTGTACAGTGTAAATGCAGTATTTACCAGCAGCAAAGAAGGCATCAGGCCTCACAGATGCAAATAAAAACAAAAAAAAAACTTTTCTAAAATTATATACAGTACATTGACATTCTTTAAATTTAGAAATGCTTTTATGAATCTCAACTTCTCAATTTGATTTTTGTTGAGTACAATCTAATGTAAATATTATTATTTTCATACAACTGTAAATGATGAGTTTAATAATTTGAAGTTTTGTGTTTTTTTCATTTACTTTTTCTTTTATCTTTTTTTACCCTGGTTCTGTAAGAATAAATAGTGCTTGACACTTAAACACTGATCCAGTTCAAAGCAGTAGTCTAATTTTAAAAAGAGAAAGAATAACAGAATACATTAACTTGCATACAAAATGTGATCAATTACAATTTTAATTTCAGTTGTAGTGACCATGAAGTTGTTTAGTTATCTATAGTTTTTTGTTTTTTAATAATGCAAACTCTGTTTGTTGTAAGTCTTAAAGAGACCACAGTCATGTAAGGTAAATGCTGACAGAAGTCGTCAAGTCAGAGGAAAAAGAGAAAAACAAGTTTAACAAATGCTTTCCAACTTCAGACAAAGGAAAAAGAGAAAAAAAAGTTTAACAAATGCTTTCCAACTTCAGTGTAATTTCTTTTATTTAACTGAAATTACGTATTTCTTCATGTTTCACCACTAATATTGTGGCATGATTGTAAAAAAAGATGCCACTTTATTATACTACACTAATTGATTTACAGCATATACACATACATTTTAATCATCTGTTATTTTCTGTGGGTAACAGCTTGTGTAAGTTCCCTTCGACTGTTAAACGTTTTGTAATTCAGTTTTGACTTTACCAATATGGCGGCGACGAGGAGGCGTGGCTACAAAAAGCTAATGCGGCTTCTTGTTCCCTGCTTGTGTCACATAGGTGATTAGATAACAACTGCGAGCAGGGGAACGACGGGCAGGATAACTGACCAGTAACGACCGCGAAGGAGGGAGAGACTGACTGAACCAGTAAAAATGTATAACCGACCGGCCCACCGGTATATTGAACGGAGGGGGCGCCAATTACACAAATCACTATATCGTTTAAAACATCTTTGTCAAAGTCGATTAGCTCGCTTTTTAATTAAGGCTAATTCATTTAGCGCACTCTAGAGTCTGTGAGTGTGTAATATGGCCATATTAGTCACTACATTTGTCACCACATAACGGCAAACCATTCCCGATAGTTTAATGTAGGATACATTTTGACAAATAATTTGGCTGATTTGGGAAATGTAATATTCATCCATTTCACATTTTGATTTAATATTGTTTCTGTCTTATTTCTTACACTGAGGAAAAGTGCTAAATCAGCACTCACGTGTATGCCGAATATCTTTGCGACTGAACATAACGGCTAAAATATTATTGATGATGTTAAGACGCACATAATTTGAAAAACATTGAAATATTGTAAATAACGCCAGAGTTGTACTGGTACTTTTAGCTCATACGTGTGTCCAGAACAGAGTGCAGTGATGGGGGGTGTAAGGTAACTGCATTCACTCACCCTGCAGTCCGAGCTCAGTCCCGGTCCAAACGCGCTGAGAAACGCCCCCACGAAGAGTCTTTCTGCCTTCTCCGTGCTGCCTTTTTCAAACCATGACTCCCGTTGTCGTAAAATTAACTTAAAAACGTAAATGCAGAGACTGCAGCCACAAGAACGGCAGGGTCTACACCTGCTCTATACGACACGCTGGAATCCAGCCATGTCTCCTCTCTGCTCTTGCAGTAGTAGATTTTCAGCAGCCAAGTAACGGTTCATTTGGCTTTAACGCTGACGTCAGTTGGGCCGAGGAGCACGGCCGTGATTGGCTCAGAGTCGTATGGGACGTCAGCAGCCTCAGTAGCCGAGGCCACCTCCCACACGGTCGCCATGGTGAATAGCGTAAACACCAAAGCTGTCCTTCATTGAAAAACATGGAGAGCCCATTCCTGTGGGTTACCGGGAATTTGAGTGAGGTTTCATGGCGGCTGGGAGCAGTGGGTCTTCAGCTGTAGCAGAAATACTGACAACCAATGGAGAGAACCATAGAAATGAAGAAAACATTAACATCTCCCGCTATTGCACACCAAAGCATCAGGCCTCAGCACCGATATATTCGAATACATACTGTAGTGTTTACGACATTATTCAGCCGTTTTCGTCCTTCCACAGTTCACGTCTTACCATATCAACCTTGCTGCTTTAGCTTTATCTTCTCCACCGCTTGAGGTGAGCTTTTTTCAGTGATACTGTATATTTCTTTCTTTTACCACTGGGTCTAAAATCATATACTGTATCATAGCAGACCTCAGTTAAGAATAGGAATCTCCACAGGGATTTCAGAGGTTTTACACTGAATGCCTTGCTGCTGTGCCCAACCAGGAATTCAGGGACTGTGAAGAATCAAATCTGTAACCATCGGTATACAGTAGTAGCAGGCAACTATCAATATCACAGCACTACTCCAGCCTCTAATACTGTGTTGTAAACCTTCAACTTTCTCTCTTGTGGTTGCCCTTCAGTCTCATATTAACCGTGACACACAAACTCCGACCCCCTGGATCCCACTCCTCTCTTGCTTTAGATAGTTGACTGTGACACTTTGACTTATCTCCTTTCGCTATCTCATCTTTGTAATTTTCAGCCCACCTCGGTGTTTTTCACCCAAATTATCTCCTACTTCTAACGGTTTGGATCCTTTTATTGCTGGCTGTCTTTTATCTGAAATCCATTTATCTTTGATCTATTCATGCTTCTTCACCAGCAGTTTAAATTATATAAAAACTTTTTTTTTTTAAAATATAAATATTGTCAAATATAAATCTTGTTTTAATACTTACCTTCCCCTGTTATAAGTCTTGTTTTAATACTTACCTTCCCCTGTCTCTTATTCATTCCTGTGTTCATTAACATACATGCACAGGCATTTGTCGATCCTGATCATATACTACAGTACTGAATACTTTACTTCATCTCATACAAATCTGATCCTTGCCATGTCTGTGAACGTTACTGTTGTGATTAGATGTTAGCAGGGAAAAGTCAACATCCATTTATAACCATTCTCTGACGCAGCTTTTCTCTTCATCCACTAACAGAAGTACTGATGACTCACTCTGTTCCATTTTCTATTTTAAACGGGCTTTTTTAAAATCAATACTAAGGTCAATACTACAGAAAACACACTGGTACGTACAGAAAAGTCAGCTGATTAGTGATGTTATTACATCACACTAGTCTTATTGGTGTGACGTATGAGGAAAACCGTCCTCTACATGAGACCCTGCTGAAGTTTATTAATAAAAATCAAATCCATATTTTATTACCAAACAAACAAATAGTATTTTGAGATCCTCTGAGATCTGGTGCTTCACTTGTAGAGGCAGATAATGACTCAGGCAGAGTATTTACAGATATTTTCCAAATGTAAGAACCAAAAAAAAAAAAAAATCAATTTTATGTAACAGTGCTTGGAAGGAAAAATATTATGCTACTTCTATGTAAATTAATTTCAGCCTTTAATTTTTAAATGAAATGCTAGTAAATTACTATTGTCTGAATAAAACCCCAAAGCTGGTATACTATCACTAGTTAGTTTAGTTTAGTTTTTTTCTTTTAATTCCATGCTACATTTTCTTCCCTGTAAGCATTAAGGATTGTGAACCCCCCCACCCATCAAAAAGATGATTTGATGTAAAAAAAATCATGACACAAACACAAAGTCTGAATTTTCCAGACTTTTTGTCCACTCCAGATCTCAGCCAAGCAGAAAGCGTCTTCTATTCTAAGCAGTTTCTGCTCTGCCTTTAAAAATGCATGTCTCCCTGAAGGATTGCTGACTTCTGAGCTTGGAAAGAGAGCTGCACTACTGCGTTCAGCAGCTGAGCCACCGTGATTTCTAGCCGATCCGACTGACGCAACACAATGTATCAATGCACAACGTGTGGCTAATTTCTGTTCAAGGAGTGGTTTTACTCCAAATGCAATGGAAGGCTACTCACTCATTAGCTCCTTTGGTGACTAATACCTTAAAGATTTGTTTTTAGCCTTTTTTACTGTTATTCAATAAAACCTCTTTTAAATCCTCGTGCGCCCATAGACTGAAATGCGATAATTACATTTTTTACAAGTGCATATTTAGTTGCATATATATTTTTATCATCCTAAACCACGAGCCAACATTTGTCTTGTCCACCGAGGCACCAATTACCAAAGTACTCACATAAAATAGGTTTTAAAAACCTACCAGCAGAATATTATCCCACATAATCTTTTACTGCTCAATAAAACTTTAATATCTATGAGAGTTAATTTTCATTCTTGGTTCACCGAGGATAAAAGCTTTTGGATAGAAACTGTTATAAATCTTTGTACGTGGGTTTTAATGGCATTTTCTCGAGACCAACAGCTCAAAGGGATCATCATTGTCCCATTATCATCATTGGAGGACAACAACATGCCACAGACTACATTCTGTGGTCAAGTTAAGGGATGTCCGATAATATCGGCCAACCAATATTTTTTTTCTCCGATAATGAAAACCCGATAACACAATGCCTGGGTTTTGCCAAATGATGTGTGCCCTAAAAATAGTTTTGGGGATAAACAGCTGTATATTAAAGTGAAAATCACTAGATGGCAGCATTATTATATATATTCATATAGTGGTCTATTTAGATAAATAAATACATAATACTAGGCCTTTATCGATATATTGGATAACGGCAAAAAGTTAATACAAAGAAACTCTTGATGAAGAAAAAAAAACCCTTCACAATAATAATTGATTATTTATCCTTTATTTGTCATGAATTCTTAATGATACAGTAAAATTCTTAAAACTGACTCTAAAGCTGCTGTCAGTGAAATCCTTCAGTTAATATCTCTCTTAAAATGATTGTGACTTGACCAAATGTACATGACATGGGCGTTTTTTAAAGTCTGCATATATGAGGTACTTTCACACTGCGTGCAACCCAAGCTCATCCACCGCTCTGGGACCCAGCCTGAGACAAGAGCAGCAGAAGGGGGGGAAAAAGGCAGATCTTTAAACCACTGAACCAAAGGCTCAGACACTACGCCTGGTACCGATGACATCAGTGACAGTGTAAGCCATAAATTCAGTCATGTCAGCATGACTTACCACAAGAACTTATATACAATACGATACTTCCACCTGTCAAGGCTAATACAGATTACACTCAGACTCTGTCTTGTTTCCAGAGGTGCATTACCATCTCAAGCATTTAACACCTTAATCCTCATTTTACAGAGATTGGCTTCATTTAAGCCCATGCCTCTAACTCTCTGCGGAATCTGAAAACTGAATAGGTACAACAAACATGTTCAAGTATCTTCATTATTTTTCCTTAATTTCTATTACCAGGAAAAACCCCAGTCAGAGGGTCCGTACAGCCCCAGTCCACAGTCGTCTAAATATTTAGCATCTGCCAGTAGGTTATGATGGTCCAAGAGTTTTGGTTTATTTTTTTGGGGTAACTTGTGTATTTGGCTACTTTGCAACAATGCTATTTCTAGTCTAACGTCCAAGCTAGTAGCTAATACAACCTTTTGCATTTTGACTAGTACTGTTTCAAAGAGCATTTTGAATAAAAAAGAAAATTGATGGAAGGGAATTAGGTTGTTTAAAATACTGAAATTACTGAAAATACTTCCCTTTTGTTTTATGTAAGGTTACAGAAAACAGACAACAGTTTTTGATGGTGTTTTTGGGGGGAAACAAAGACAAAACTGTGTTCTGGCATAAATATCACTGACTATCAACACAAACATTTCAGGAAAGACTTTACTTTCTCTCTGTGATTTTGTGCCTTTAGTTGAAGTGCAAAGGAAATCAAAAGTTCTTCTTCGCGGAGCAGCAGCATCTCACCACAAACAAGTGTAGATTTTGTGGACGAGCTAGTGGCGGTGGGGAATCGTTGGTGGCAGCGTTATGGTACATGCCATGTACTGAGAGACCGAGCAGCTGAAGTTGCCAGGAGACTGCACGTCACTTTGCTTGGTTTTTCCAGTGAGATAGAATTGAGCTCCTAATCCAGCGGAAGAAACTTCAGGTAAAACTGCAGTAAAGAAAAACAATCTCCAGACCAGCTGCTGTTCCAACTACGGCCTCTGAGTGGCGCTTCTGTACCGTCGCTATTAGTTTCATCCTGTGGGGCCATCATGCTGTTCCAGAAACATTTTCCAATAATGCTAGTTAGCCAGTTAACAAATAATCCAATAAATCCACCAGTCACTAAATCATTCAGTGGGTCACTCTCCTCCACCAGCTGGACACTGGCTCTTCATTTGGACTTGGGTACCACCAGTAATTCATCGCCGTCTTGGATGCTGTAGGAGTGGAGAGCACGTGTGTTGTACTTCATTTCTTCTGGCCCGAAGGCAGTGCACTTGTCGATGTAGTACAGCCTCATGCTATTGGTGGACAGTTGGACCACAGTGGTCAGCTGCTTCTTCAGCGCAGCCACATTCTGGTCCAAACGGATTGTCAGCTGAGGCAGGCACAAACGGGTGCGGTTAAAGATTTTAACATTTAAAATTCAGGGAAACGTTCATCAGTATGACATGAGATTGTAACTGGTGTGTACGAGGTTGTTGTTAATGTTTGTCTCCACTGCTTCCCAATTGTTGGAGAACCACAACAATGGTCTACTGCATTGTTCCCCAAAGACTGGGTCGCAACCCTCAGGTGGGTCGCAAGAATTTTTTTTTTTTGAGTCGTCTCGCATCATGTTTCCCAGGAGTTTACGAATAATGTCTATTGACTTGGGTCACGAAGATTTGTGACTTTTAAAATATGGGTCCCCAGAACAAAAGGTTTGGGAAACACTGGTCTACTGTAGCTGTTACCATTACTGAATCTGAATAATAAACATCCTCAAGTGTCTCCCTGCTCAGACGCAGCTTATCAGCTTATTAATAAACAACAAGGTTTAAGTGCTCAACTCCAAAACGAGGCCGACTTCTTTTAGGAGTTCAGCACTTCTAAATGAAGTCGGCTTCATTTTGGTGATAGCAATGTCATTTTTTTTTTTGCAGAAATCCAAATAAATGAACTGTGACAGGGTCTAGTGGCGTGACCTGGAACCTCTGCTTAAAATAAATCCTAGCAGACACAGTAGACACCGTCAATTGTCATACTGCAGATGAAAACCATCCACCGTTTGGCAGTGATCAAATCAAGAGACATTTAAAAAGGCTTCTGTAAAATGAATTATTTGGTTTTTATCTCTGTAAAATATTTTCCTGAGTTTTTTTAAATTTATTTTTCAGGTTTTTGTTAACCATAACATTTAGCATTCTTGGATGCTACAATCATGTGGAACTTGTGTATAACACTGGGTCACTTGCTTTAGTTACGTTTAATTACACACTAGCAAAAGCCTTTCTACACAAAACAATATTTAGTGGTGGCGCCACGTTATGCTCTAAGGCAGCGCTATTCAATTAGAAATTTAGTCCAGCCAGATTTTTTAAACCACTGAAGTCAGTTAGACCACTCTGTTTTGGTGGCTAATCCATGGAAAAATCGAATAAGTGTGTTTTCCGTAAGTCAACACACTCATTGCAAGTTGAACACATCAACTTTGGGCCTGGATTATACAATACGCCAACAGAAACCACTATTTCTTCAGTCCCTGCAGGGATCAACTGACTGCATGACTACACAGATTGGACCTCTATGAGGTTGTGTCTGGGCTGGATGCGGCCTGGATGAAACTATTTAGATTTGGCCAGCTCTAATGTATTAGAAGGGAAGCAGTTTTCCAATTAATATAATATAATATAATATAATATAATGTATTTCCTGGACTATAAGTCGCTCTGGAGTATAAATCGCAACAGTGCCCTCTAGCGGCTGTCAGTGTGAAAACGTGAAATTATATATTTTAATATATAAGTATAATATAATATAATATAATATAATATAATATAATATAATATTGTTTATAATATTGTTGTATTATTATATTATAATATAGTATTATTGTAGATTTATGACTCTTCACTTTTCCACATATAAATCACTGTGTCAGTGTACTGCATATACAGGTGACCCAGACAGGTCATCAACCACAGTGATGACACATCATCTTCAAAACTCCTCCTGATGGACAGATTATTTTAAATGAAATAATGAAAGTGTGTTTTGCTTGACCCTCTCTGCACTAAAACTACGGTCATCTCTTTCAGTTCCAACTCACCTGTTCCACTTTTCCTTCACAGTGAACCTCAACCTGTGCACGCCAGCGAGGTCGGAGGTCGATCTCAGCGAGTGGTTCCAGTTTTCCATACTTGGTAACCAGAGAATGGTATCTGTGTGGAGGCAAGATGGAAAGGTGAGAATATAAACAAAAAAAAAACAACACTTCACGTGTAACCATGTCTGCAGCGGACCTGAAAGGAAGCTCCTTCTCCGGGAATTCTACGTGATAACGGATGAAGAATCTTTCTGCGTCTTCTCTCTCGCTGTCGGTCACAACGCTGCCGTTAAGCAGTGAGATGGCAGGAAGACTGGAGAGAAAGTCCATACGGTATATTCACAGTCACATAATGGAAACCAGGCTGGTTATTTCAGCACTTTCTATATTTGAATTTTTCAGACTTTCATTATATCCATAATGTGAACTATTAGTGAAAGTAAAGATCATTTATTATTTCGACGGTGAGCAGTTCTAACTTCTCGGACTCACTGTGCTATCATGAGGCTGCGTCGCTCCACGTTGGTGTAGGTCTCCAGTAAAGGAATGCCCTGCAGTCGCACCTCCACCAACTTAGGGAAGAAGTTCAGCTTCTCAATGTCCTCCCATCGATTCAGACCTGACCACAAACACAGGAAGACGTCGCACATACTGTAGAGTGGTGGACGTGTGAAACAGAGATGAAAATTCAGGAAGACAAAAATTAGGGTGGAGAATGCAGCAAATTCTTAGGGGATGTTTCGGTCCAGTGTACATACAGTTTTGGCTATGATTTTATAAATACAATTTGCTAAATTTTCACTGACGTGAACACTTTCTGTAGGATAGTCTCATATATCCCTAATCCTAAAAAAATTATATCCTACTGTATCTTATCTTGACACAAAAAAATAAAAAACCTGTCTTACCAGTACAGAACCCTGGGGTATTAAAGCCCCTACAGACAGACTGACCTGAGTTATTCAGGTTAATGCTGCGTAAGTTTGGGAAGAGCCGCTGCAGAATGTCTTTGCTGTCCGGAATGGTGCCCAGATTGTTGTTGGCCATGACCAGAGTGTCCAGGCCGGGAAACATTGAGCCAAACTTGCGGACCTCGGCCCAGTCCTGAAGGCTGTTGTCCGTGATGTGAAGCAGGCGCAGGGTGGGGCAGGTCACGGTGGGGGCACTCACACTACTGTACTCATTAAGGCACAGGAACAACTCCTCCAGGCTGCAGGACGACAGCACACACAGCAGAGTCAACAAGGACGTCATGTGAGCAGCTCACTCAAAGAAGTCTGGTTCATTTTATTGTATTTGCATAGACCAAATATAAAAACAGATATGGATTATTGTTGTTAAATAAAATTTATTAAATGTATATAAATTTGAATTTAAACATTTACATTTTTAAAATATTTTTTATTATATATATGTATATATATATATACCCCATATTTTTTGGATTATAAATTGCACCAGCCAAGAGGGAGTGCCCTCTAGTGGTTGTCAGTGTGAAAATAACAAACATGTGAAATTATATTTAAAAAAATACGGTACATAAATATAGTACTGTTAAAATGCAGTTAAAAAAACTTTATAAGTAATCTTGGATGTCAAAAGGAGATGAATAATTAACTAATTATTTAATAAGAATAATAACAATTGCAGCAACAGCTGGAGGTTTGATGTCGCACAGACCTGTAAAGTACAGAGAGAAAGAGAGGAGAGAAAAGAAGAGCACCCTCTGGTGGAGAAAGTGGTCATCAGAAAGACACATAATAAAGTAGGCAGGATCTTATTAAACATAATACCATACATACAGGCCTAAAGCAGTGATGCCTGTTTCTGCAGGACTCCAGAACAAACATACACTGCAAAAACAATAAACCGTCCAATCACAGTCTCAGCAGCAGTGACGTAACATGAGTTTGTCTTACTCTGGTATCTCTCGGGTCAGCAGCAGCACAGTATCCCAGGACACTTGGGTGTTGTTTAGGACTAAACGCCTGACCCGAGAAAAAGGCTCAGCCCAATGTGGTTCCAAGGTCGCTCCTGCCAGTGGGTTGGAGCTCAGGTTCAGAAACCCCAGGTTAGGAATGCTGGATATAATTTTACTGATCTGAAATTAAGAACACATAAAAATGTTCTTAAAAATCACAAGTTATAATGTGGGATTAACTGTGACAAACTTAAAGGAGCCACTAGGGGGCAGAGGTAGACAATTACCTTCGACAAATGTAAATTCACCTCATCTGTTTTGGACCTGTTCAGACATCTGATACTTCTTTTCCTCACTCTACAGGGTTACATGATGTTCTACTATTTTTTTGTTTTTACATTAAATGACAAAACAAAAACACTTCACATAAAAAGAAATTCCATCTCGGGTTCTGACATTTAAATCTCTCTTAATAATTAATGAAAGTAGAATAGATTAATCTCAAAGAAGATCTCCACCTCCTGCCAGTCCTGCAGCTTGTTGTGAGACAAGTCCAGCTCAATGACATGCGCACAGAACGCAGCAATCTCCGCCTGGTCTCCGGCTCTGTTGATACCACAGCCGTTCAACACCAGAATGCTGGGCATGTTCAGTCGATCTTGGTTAAAGTAGAAAATAAGAACAAGATAAATAATGGAGAAACACATATTTGATGTAGGACAATAAACTTAATAATTACTTTTCAAATGTATGCATGGGTTCTCAAGAACATAAAAATATTAGAAACAAATCAGAAAATACAAAGTCCCATAGCTAAAATAAAGAACAAGCTAAGAGCTAAAATCAAATACTGTCTAAATAGAGGTTGTCATTTGTGAGCTGGGCTCTCTAAGACTGTAATTTTATCTCCTCTCCAGCTCACCTTTCATAGGAGAACCCTGAGGACCGCCAGCGGGCACCACCACCACGCCCATACCAGGCCCTCTGCGGTACGGGAAGTTCTCTGGGCTGTACTTTTCACTGATCACCTCCACAAAGCTACGGCCAAATCTATCCGCCGGCGGCTCCATGGCGTCGTCCTGCTGAGCAGCCTCCACCTCAGCTGGTGTGAAAGAGACACAGAGACAGTGATAAACTGCCATCGTAAACAACAGCTTCAACCAGGGAACTGAAAGGAGAGACAAAAGGAAGAAACATTTGATTTTCAGGCTTAAAATAAATAAAGACTAATAAACCTGAGCTCTAATTAAGCTGCCATAATTAAAACTATGGCTACTATGAGTGCTTGTGTGAGTCATAAAACACTTGGTGGGCAGAGCCTGACTGTGGAGTGTGCTGCAGGGAAGCATAAATAATGGAGTGGTTATTTCTGCAACAAAATAATTAAAGTATCCCGTTACAATATCAGATATGGCTGCAGTAAATTTTTGTGAAGCAGTAGAACAATTTGTTATTTTCCACTAATGACCTGCGTCACTAGCTGTAACACCAGTGGATATGATGTCGAGCGTGTACAGTATGTGAGCTGCTGTCATCTCTGAGATCAGTTACACATGTTTAATAATGATAATCAGTGAATGACGGAGAGACAGTTTCCTACCTGAAGACACGTCTCCTTCGTTTTGACCACTGACACCGCTGTCTGTCTCCTGCGTCTGTAATGAGGAGATGACAGAGAAACCAAACTGAGGCTCCAGTCATGTGGGAAAAAAACTTTTTGTAGTTTCACAATAAAACAGTGAAGCAACAGTTTATATGTATTTAAAAAGAATTGTATTTTGTCACAGCATTGTTGGAAACGTTAACCTCTGATCCCATCTTTAACTTTATATGGTAATCTCTCCTGCTAGGTATACAGTAAATATTATCTTTACAGATCAGATCCAAAACACCAATAGTGCTTTTAAAAAATAATCTAATTTATGATTCTGGCTGGGCTGGGCTTTGCCAATTGATGTGTGCCCTAAAAATAGTTTGGGTGATAAACAGCTGTATATGAAAGTGAAAGTCACTAGATGGCAGCATTACAGCTCATTTAATTAATGAGCTGTAATGGCGTTTTGATTCAACACCTTTTGTCAATACCTCATATTTAATCTATACATACTACACTCATGTGTCGCCTGTGCAGTATGGGTCAGTGAGAAGGTTCTTACTCCACAGTGGCTGCTTCAGTTGGCTGACGCTGCTGCTGCTGCTGTCTCCTCTTCGGTCACTTGTCGTCAGTACTTGTTTGGTGTTGCCCTGAACACGGACGACTGAAGAGGCAGTTACCACATGGTGCTGTGGAATAAAAGTGATTAATCTTCAGATGATGCTCTGTTGAATGTGTTTGTAACGTAAGAAGACGGGGGGGGGAGGGCAGAATTTCCTTAAGTCAGCCAGGCCGTCTTAAAAACACATACAGTATACACACCGTACAGGAAATTATACACAAGTACTTTACAACAATGGCAGTAATTCAATCAAGAGTAAATGGCGAGATGTCTGTACTTAACACTATACAGTGCTTTTCTTGTCTTCTTGTCTTGATGACCACTCAGAGTGCTTTGCACTACAGTCCATTTACACAAATAGCACATTTATGTGCAGCATATTTCCTTCTATCATGCATATTTCATTCCCAAATACACACTGCTGGCACTACTGCCAGAGTATCACAGTGTCCTGGCGACTACTATTAAAATGAAAACACAGTCCTTCAGTCCTGACCATTTACATTTTCTTCAGTTTTTGGGAAAAAAAACCCAACCTTTTTTATTTCCCCGAGTGCCACTAGAGGGTGCCTAAGTTCCACCAGTGGTGCACACATCAATGTTTGAAAACCATTGCTTATAAAGTGTATAGTACCACATTTACATAAAAACGAATCGTAAACAGTATTTTTTGAAAGCAAAAATACCGATCAAACTCTTGTTAAAGTTGACATAGAGCATCTTAACACGAAGTTGTTATAATTCATTCATTCGTCAAAAATAACTGGCAAACTAAGTATGTCGTGTTGTTTACTTCAACAGATATATTTGGTAGCACTGCATGCCCACTGCCCTTGAAGACTTCAGAAAAATCGGCGTTTCCGTGCATTAAATCGGTACAAACTAAGAGAACATTGGGTTAAAATGTGTTCCTAGTACTCGACATTAACACTTTTGACAGATTATAAGACGTAAGCATACTAAATATTATTTTTAAACGCGTACCTTTTGTTCATGTCTCTTCTCATGCCGTGGCAACCGTGTACATTGAAACGCCAAGAAAAGTTGACAATTGACTTCACTTTGTTTGTACCGATTTTAATGACAGTCACGCCGAACTGACGTATGATCCTTGCTTATCAGGTGAAAGTCTAACACTGGTCACGTCACGACCTATAACGATTGATAAAACGAGCACACTGCAGAAAACACTACTGTGAAACGAAGTTCCTTATTCCACGTTGGAGTGGGGTTTGTCTAATCCGCACACACAAGACTCCCGCTTTCCATTACAGCTCCCGTTACTGATAAAAATGTCAAAGGTAAAGAGGGTAAAAAGAAAAAGGCTATGTTGTGGAAAACCCTAAGTGAGCGTGACCCTCAGCATCAACATTACTGTATCATCATCATCAGTAGCAGCGGTAGCAGAGGCTCGATGGTAGCAGAGAGGAAACAACACAAAGCAACGACATACACACACACTCAGTGACTCAACCAATGACAACAATGTGTAATATAACAACATAAGGAACTGTCAAAACAGCCACACGTCAACATCTGTACCTTCAACGTCTACTTTAAAATTGTAATTTTCATAAAAACAACCAGCTGTCATTTTGCTCACCATCCGCATCCCGGAAGTGACGTCACAAAAGTCTTGATTTTTTAAAATGAAAAATATTCATTTATTGCGTTGTACATATTTTTCAAATAAATATGGGACTGTTCTACTTGTTTTTTTAGTCTTCTCAAAAAAATAAAAATAAAAATAAAACGACTGTTCTGTTGGTTTAAGCAGCCATGATGTCACACTGTGGATGCTACTTGCCAACAGCTATAGAAAGAAAAACCGAGAGAAGACGTACTTAATTGAGTTTTATTGTTGGTTTGTTTTGTTTTGATCAACTTGTTTGTTTGTGTTAACCTTCATATTTTTCCTTATGTTTTCCTTATGTTATGTATCTTACAATTCATCACCTAAATGTCCTGCTACGTGTCCATCAGAAGGACTTTCCTAATGGCTGGGGCTTATTAAAGCTGTTTTTAAATTATCCGTTTGATAAACTTTTGCAAAATTAACTACATTATGGTAATCATTTTTATTCGTTCTATTATCTCTACTATGACCTACGTATGCCGTTGGTTGACTTTGCTGTTTGAAATGCTTCGCTCCTCACAAACCTACCAAAGGGGGCAGTACTGGACCATCGGGGAAACTTGATGTTCTGTGTGGACTTTGGTCGTTCGATTTTGTTGTTCAAACAGGCAATTTCTTCACTGACAGTCTAACGAATTATCTTTTAGTAAACAAAGTCTGGACTTTGTCCATTTGTAAATCAAGATATTTGCTGAAAACACCCACATTTAAAGGGTATTTTATTTTCCACCATTTCCACCATACACATACAAAACAATAGTTAGAGACTGAACCAGTATGGCATCAGATAGACATTAGGTCAGTAAGAAATGTGTCTTTTTCTAAATGCAGGTCCTTCAGAGGCAGCAGTGAGATCCTGGTGATTGGCAGCTCTCATTTACGCTGAAAAAAAAGATAAAAAAAAAATTAGTTGATGGCTCCCAGTATAGAGAAACTGTTTATTTAGCTTTATTGGCTTGTTTAATGTAGTGTTAAAGGGATTCTAAAGTAAAATTGAATTAAAAATTGATGTTTGAAATTTCAATCAGTATTAAAAATAAAGAACTAAAAACCAAGGGGCAAATCAAAACAGTCGTGCGAGTTTTATAGGGAAACAAAATTGATTTGTAAAGGTCGTATCAGAGGCAAAGTACAAACCAAAAACATCATTAACACATCATGAGTGATTGCTTGAACAGCAGGGTAACTGGTAACATGGTTTGTCTACTGCATTAATGCTGAGCAGAAAAAAGTAGTTAGCCCTAATGTTATGAGAAAAAATATATATAAACAATACCAAAACAAATGTTGCCAAAGTCTAGTAGTCTAGGCCTACAAGATGTATTTATCTGGTTATAAAACAATGTCCCAATGTGAAATCTCATGTTTTACCAAATTAAACATTTAAAAAAACTTTTTTACACTATATTTTATCTCTTTTTATAAAGACTGTTTTCTGGACCTGTCACCAAAGTGTTGTACAAGGTGAACAAACGTGTGTGTATGTCTGAAAAAACATATAGTGTGTTAATTATTACATAACAATTCAAGGTGTATTCAGTCTCTGCCCGTTCCTCTGCAAAGAAGAGAAAATCAGATTAAATGCTGACAACAAACTTGGATTCTGGGAAATGTTTTCAGGTGGAGGTGGGTGAGGCTCAGACTTACGTGGCTGGTAGTAGTCATAGACTGCAACTACAGCTGGTTTCAGGTTCTCCACTGCCTGCTCACGTATGATATTAAGTGTGTGGAAGATACTAATATCTTTAGGTAACTGTGGGGAAAAAAAAGAAGGACAGTAAAAATTACACTCAAACTTAAAACAATAAATCACTGATGTCCCGAGTGGATCCCTCTCACCTTCTCTAAGTAGACCAGAATGTGATCTTCCTTGTTGTCAACACGATCCACAAATAGAGATCTTTTGAGCTGTCGAGAGATGATGCTCAACTTGGTCAGTCTTTAACAGTAAAATATAATAAAAATATT